GGGGGGGGGGGGGGGTTCTTTGGCTCTAAAGGCTAAATTTTAAAAATGCGTATACTATAGGATCAGATTAAATTAAAAGCGGGAACTCGTTGAATTACTTATAGACGAAGCTGAACCACTTCACGTCAAAGTTTTTTTACGCTAAACTTATCAAAATTCTTAACCTTTTGCACCACAGTAAAAATTTCTTAGAAATTGAATATTTATGAATGAGTTGAGGGGGGCTTTTATATGTTAAAAGGTAGATTAAGAAATAACGTATGTTTAATCATATGGTAGGACGGGCCGCGTAATTTGTATCTCCCTTAAATTCCATACTTCTTGGGGATAACATAAGTTTTTAGGAGGGGAAGGGGAGTGATAGGAGCCGAGGGGGGAATGGGGGGGGGGTTGTAAGCCAGAAGTCGTATCATTATGATATTTGATACCAAACATTGCATCGACTGTTTGGATGCATATGTTGACAAAGATAAACTCAATAAAATGATTGATATATAAATTTACAATATGGCTCTTGCATAATTATCATAATTACAATATATATATATACGTTATAAATGGAAGTCTTTGATATAATAAGACAACTATGGACTAACCACAGAGACAGGTTAATTCAAAAGTTAAAAAAAAACGCAAATGTCTCGTTCAATTATGTTATTAGTGTATTTTCTGTATTGGTGTTCTAAAGCGGAAATCTAATCTCATAAAATACTGCTCTTAATTTCAAAGCAACATGGTTTATTCGACTACAAAATTCTTTATGGATAAAAACTGGTTTCCAGGAATGAATTTTCTGTTCTTTTTTAAGCTTCTGTATACTTTAAAACACGCTAGATTAACACAATACAAGTTACAACACAGTAATCCAAAGGTTGCAAGCTCTCGTGATGATGATTTGCCAATAAATGCTATAAAATAACTTTTTAGTTCTAGAATGTACATTTACATTTCATTAAGTGGGGTAAAATTAAAGGCTGAGGCGCAGCGGTGCTACACTCTAAAGATGATTCATGTCTTTCAAAATAGATTCAACTTGATATGCATATATTTTAGGCAGACGCTGAACTCCAACCTTCGAGTGTGCGAGGTGGGGAAGACTTCACTGATTAATTAATAGCATGATTAAAAGGGGATGACATTTGTAGATCGAGATTGAATCCTAGCCGCAGCGCTCGGCCCAGGAAGTGTCATAGCTTAACCAAACTCGTGGCCGCAGCGCTCGGCTCCCAAGCCTGTTCTAGCCGCAGTACTCGGCCCAGAAAGTGTCTTAACCTAACCGAACCCTACATAAAAGAGTGTCATAACTTAACCTAACCCGTGGCCGCAGCGCTCGGCCCAGAAAGCGTCTTAACCTATCCTAACCCTAAATAAATACTAATTTAATTGAAAATTGTTGAGAAACTGGTCATGTACAAAAGTAAAATCTGCAGTGAAGTCTTCCCCATGCCTCGCACACTCGAAGGTTGGAGTTCAGCATCTGCCATATATTTTATATGCTTACTGATTCAATATGTGAACAAAGTTATCTGGGTTATTTTCTTGAATTTTTTTATATAACGAGAAGATAAAATAAGATTAGTTGGAAGGGTCATATTTAGATCGAGACTTAAATCTTATAGACAATCTATCGCCAGAGTAAGTATTCTGCACTGTATGACATAAAGACGACATTTAATAAAAATTCTCTAAAATTATTTCTGTTTAAATCTTTCTTTAAATACATATTTCTGAGTTAGCTTTACGAAAGAAGTTAATTTCAAGGCATCATTGATGCTGGTGTTTCCTTATTACTTATTAGAAGATGATTATGAATATAATAAGTTTACTTCAAATATGCAAATTGCAAAAGATTAAATTGGTTTCGATACTTAATTTTTTATATCATGGCCAAAATTTTTAAATTATTGTCATTTTGTAATTAGATATAGTTTATATTCTTTATGAAGTTCCTGAAACTGAAGTTTTTTAAAACCTATAAAAATCTGTTTGAAATTGACAATTTGCAACACACAAATCAAGCACATCAAAAATGTATAGCTGTTAATAGGTTTGAATATTAATAGTATGTCTACCATAACAAAACAATATTGAAATATATATATATATATATATATATATTTCAAGTTTTTAAAGTCAATTACTTTTCTGCAGGTTAACTTTGATAATCTTGAAAACGAACTATATATTATCAATTTGGACAAATAAGATGCTTTAAGTGTGAATTTGGATTCTTTGCGTAACCTAGTCTGCATAACCCTACTTGGAAATCTATTT